GTGAACTACACTCACAAGAACATAAGAGATAGATAATCCCACTTTACCAAAAGCCAAAAGAAAAAGCAGGGTAAATCCACACACAATACCACCAACAACAATAAATCAAAAATAAACAATAATAAAGGCTCAAAGGTCCTTAATTTCCCTCAATATTAACGGTCTTAACTTGCCTATAAAAAGACACAGGCTAACAGAATTGATACAAAAACAGAATCCATCCTTCTGCTGCATACAAGAAACACATCTCAACTTCAAAGACAAACATTATGTCAGAGTAAAGGGTTGGGATAAGTTGTTCCAATCAAATGGACCCAAGAAACAAGCTGTGGTAGCTATCCTACTATCTAACAAATTAGATTTCAAACTAAAATCAATCAAAAGAGATGAAGAAGGTCATTTCATATTCATCACAGGAAAAATCCATCAGGAAGAAGTCTCAGTTCTAAATATCTATGCCCCAAATACAAAGGCACCAATGTTCGTAAAAGAAACATCATTGAAACTTAAATCACATGTAACTTCAACACCCCACTCTCACCACTGGACAGGACCACCAGACATAAACTTGACAAAAAGACAAAGGAACTAACAAAAGTTTGACCCAATTGGGATTAACAGACATCTATAGAACATTCCAACCAAACACAAAAGAATATACCTTCTTTTCAGCACATGGAACCTTCTCTAAAATCAACCACATTATGTGGCAAAACTCAACAGGTACAAAAAAATTGGAATAACCCCCTGTGTCTTATCAGACCACCATGCTTTAAACTTAGAATTCAAAATTGCAGAAAACTTACCAATTCACGGAAATTGAACAACATGCAATTGCACCATTCCTGGGTCAAGGAAGAAATAATAAAAGAAATCAAAGACTTCCTAGAATTCAATGAGAATGAAGACACAACATACCCAAATTTACAGGACACTTAGAAAGCAGTACTAAGAGGAAAGTTCATGACTCTAGGTGCCCAAATGAAGAAACTAGAGAATAGCCACACCAGAGAATTGACATCACAACTGAAAGCTCTATAACAAATGGAAGAAAATTCACCCTGGAGGAGTAGATGCCAGGGCAGAAATCAATGAAGTTGAAACAAAGAAAACAATCCAAAGAGTCAATGTAACAAAGAGTTGTTTCTTCGAGAAAATCAACAAGATAGACAAACCTTTGTCCAGACTAACCAAAAGGCAGAGAGAGAACATGAAAATTAACAAAATCAGAAATGAAACGGGGACATAACAATGGACACTGAGGAAATGCAGAGAATTTTCAAGTCATACTTTGAAAACCTGTACTCCACAAAATTAAAAAATTTAAAGGAAATGGACAATTTTTGAAACCCTGTCTTAAGACAACACAAATAAAGTTTTTTTTTTTAGACAGAATAAAAAAGAAAGAAAATGCCAAGTTCTATAATTACATCTGATTTGCCATCTTGGTAGGGGCTTTTAGAATGTGTGTAATGAATATGAAGCAATTAAATTGGCAAAGAGGAGATGGGGTCTAGCCTTACTGGGTCCTCAAGGACTCAGCTGGCATGAAGACAGCCATCCTGATCTGATACCTATCCACTCAGACAGGGACTCTCTGGTCAGAGTTCTCAAGACCCCAGCTGATGGGAAGAGAACCACCCATGCCTGATTCCCACCCAGCCTGATGCCCTATCCGCTCGGATGGAGACTAGCCTGGCATGGTTCTAGAGGTCCTGGCTGGTGGGAAGACAGCAATCTCTGCCTAATGCCTACCTGCTCAGCAGGGGACTAGTTTGCCAGGGTCCTCAAGGCCCCAGGTGGCAGGAAAACAGCCACCCCCACCTCATTCTCACTCTAGCCTGATTCCTGCCTGCTCAGAAAGACACTAGCCAGCCAGGGTCCTAAAGGTCCTGGCTGGCGGGAAGACAGATACCTGGGCCTGATGCCTATGCACTCTGAAGGGTACAAGGTGGAAAAGGTCCTCAAGGCCCTAGGTGGCAGGAAGACAGCCACCACTGCCTGAGGTCTATCTGCTCAGATAGGGATTAGCCAGTCAGGGTCTTCAAGGCGCCAGCTGGTGGGAAGACAGTAACTCCCATCTGGTTCCAAGTCCAGTCTGATGCCTATCCACTCAGACTGGGACTAGCCTGGCAGGATTCTCGAGGTCCTGGCTGGTAGGAAGACAGCTACCCTGCCGCCTGATGCCTGTCTGCTCAGAAGGGGTCTAGTGGGCCAGCGTCCTCAAGGTCCCAGCTGGCAGGGAAGACAGCCACCCCTACTGATTCCCACCCCATCCTGATGCCCATCTGCTCAGAAGAGGACTAGGCAGCAAGGGTCCTCAAGACTCCGGTTGGCATGAAGACAGCTACGCCTGACTGATGCCTATCCCCTCAGACAGGGCTAGCTGGCTAAGGTTCTCAAGGTCCTGGATGGTGGGAACACAACCACCCCATGCCTTCCTGATGCCTATCTGTTCAGATGGGGAACTAGTCAGCCAGAGACCTCAAGGCCTCAGCTGGTGGGAAGACAGCTGGTGCTGGACATGTGGGACTTATTAAAATAGGGAAATATATGGTGGAAATGGGAGAGATGGAATAATAGAATGGTTTGTGCACTATGGAAGGACACAGAAAGTAATAAATGAAGGTGGTGAGGAGTGGGCAGATGTTGGGGGCCTGCTTGTGAAGGTGATGAGTAGACTGAGGGGGGAGTTCTGCTTCCCATCTGGGGCCATGGTGATATCAGGGCTGGGCTGTTGCCAAGGACCATGTCTGGGTTGATGGTCCTACCACAGCCAAGGTCTATGTTGATGTCCATGGAGCATGGGGCCACCAAAGGCCACATGAAGACTGGCATCTTGGCCACAACCTTTGAGCTTGTTGGTGTCCAGGGGCCATGCTGCTGCTGGAGCCATCTCGATTTGAGTGGCCCACTCTAACACTTAGAGCTAGAATATTGACCAGGCCAAGCAGAGCTGCTACCTGAGGCCGTGTCTGGGTCCATGGCCCAGCTGCAACTGGGATCTGTGTTGAAGCCTGAGGCACGGGATCTGGGCCAGAGCCTGAGGCTTGCTTGGAGTCTGGGGGCCATACCGCAGCAGGGGCCATACATATATGGGTGGACTGTACTGCTACCTGGTGCCATGGTGTCATCCAGGTCCATGCTGCTGTCCAGGGCCATGTCTAGGTCTATGGCCCTATACCAGTCAGGGTCTGGACTGATGTATGTGGCACCTGATACAAGCAAGCACCATGAGGATACCCAGGGTCAGATCAGACACCTTAACACCAGGTGGTGGAGAGACAGCCACAGCTGCCTGATGCACTTTTCTGAATATCGTTATCTGTGTTTTTGTTGTATGTATGCATGTAAAACCCACTCACAGAGAAGGCCCAATTATAGATCACTGCAGAGAGTCTTGCAGTCACAAAAGACCTCTGCTTTAATAATTTTTTGCCTAATTATTTTAAGCTACATGTCCCCTGACAATTTTCCTGCATCCCTTCCTATCTTTTCACGTCTTTTTCCTTCCTATTATTTGTCCTTAGGTTTTAAAAGACATTTTATTTCCTTCAACATACTTTTATTGTTATTTAAATGGAAAATTCTAAGCAAACAGGCTGCATAAATTGCATCTTACTTTCCCCACATTTTTTCTTAAAATATTTATTATTTAAATTTTTTCAATTTAAATATATTTTGATCATATTATCCCCCCAAGTCCTTCTGGTTCCTCTCCCCCTACTTACTCACCCAACTTTAAGTTCTTTCCCAAAAGAAACAAAAACCCAATGCAAACAGACCCCCAAATACTCAGAAAACAAAATAAAACCCCACCAGAAACAAAACAAAAAACATCAAAATAACCAAATAAAAGCACTTGCGCACGTGCGCGCAAACACATACACACACACACACACACACACACACACACAAACAAGCATGCACACATAAACCCAAACCCAAAACAAAACAGACAATAGCTCAAACAACAGTGGAATCCAATATATATATTTTTCAACCACTTCTGAACATGAGGACTATGCAGGAGTGGTTGATATACCCAGTGTTACTCTATTGGAGAAAACTAATTTTCTCTCTCCAAGCATGTTTAAGTCCCCATTTCTAACAAAATGACTTTCAAATACTAGATGCTAATGAACTTTGGATAATGAATAAAAACGTGAAAATGAATTACATTTTAAAATGCTTTATTAACACCTATATTTTTAAGTAAGATAAACAACTCAAAGTACATACATTTTATTTGTATACAATAAAGTGAAATAAAGAAAACCAGAGGTATTTACCCTCTCATTATTTTCTTTTCCATTTTTGCTATTTCATTGTTATTTAACTTGACATTGACTATATTTTGACCCATATTTTAGTCACTGAGCCAAAAACCCCACTAAGATTGAACAGACTTGCAAATTCAAATTGATTCAGAGTTCTCCCTTTCTTCTCATACATTTTTTCCAAAAAAAAAAAAAACTTAAGTCCAGTTAGTGCTACCACATGGACACAGGTGTGGGTTCATTCGCTGGAACATGGAGAACTCATCAGTGGTCACACCCCTAAATAAAATTCACTCTCTCTGCCCACAACAGCTTCAAACTATGAAAGGGCGATAAATGTATAAGCAAATTCATTAATAATTTTGCATTTAAAGGTATTGAAGTCTACTGATAGAAACATCTGAAATATAACATAAAAATGAAACTTAAAGTAACAAATATGGCATAGGAATGCAATGATGTTATTCAATGTGCTCCTTTCAGACCTATGCTGCCCATATACTACTTAAAATGTTCACTATCCTTAATTTCCACATAGGAAACCTTCCTCAGACTTCAATATTGAAAATATAGCCTAGAACTAAAAGATGGAAAAAGGTAAAACTGGAATACAACAGAAAAACTAATATTATAAGCACTTTTTCTCCTCAGCCCATATTAGCACTTCACTATTAGGTAGCTGACAGACCTTTACAAATAGTGAGGCAACAGACTTAGCTATTACTTAGCATGGGAGAAGCTGCTAACCATGGCTTTTGAATGTGAACTGGCCGTAGCAGCAGTGCGAGCCCTAGCGGCAGACCTAGCTTGGGCTCTTTCTTCCTCATCTTTCAAAGCTATTTCATACAAGGGCACAAAGGCATCTGGTGTAGTATCATGAATCTTGGCCCAAAACTCCAGGACTTTCATCTTGCTGATCTCAGCCTGGGCTCTGGAACCCCATGTGAATTCAAAGGATGGAGGATTGCTGTCAGGCACTTTTCGGTACTCCAAGTACTTTAGGTTTACCAAATCTTCAGTGATAACTTTGGTAGGGTCTCCATAGATGAAGTGTTTTCGGTTAGCATATACACCCATCATATTAAGCACCTCCCAGACATCCTTTTCAGAGGCACAGTTATTTTTCTTAAAGATCACACCCAACACCATCATTAATAGGCCAGTATTGGGCATTATTTCTTCACCCCTCATGACATCAAAGGTATGATCTAATTTATTGAAAAGGGCATAACTGTGCCTGACAGGATCCACTTCCTTCAGATCAACACCAAAGGCCAGTTCCATGTGCTCTGAGGCTCTCTTTAGGATCTCATTGAAGTGACCTTTTGATGTTTTGACTACACACTTCTGCATATCTGCCTTTGTAATAACCTCCTTCTTGTGATACTTCTCCATCAGGAACTGCACCAATAAGACTACTTTACGATTTATAGGATCTTTACTCCAGGCCTCAAGCTCATCAGAGTCATCTGAATTTTTTTCATCTTGGTTTTCAGGCCCTGTACTTTCATATGTGTGTGTAAAGTTATAGTGAGCTCCCTGTGGCATGTTGGGAGGTGTAGGCATACCAGTATCAGGATCAGCCTGATCTGGAAACTCACTGAAAGGACCTGAAGAGGCCTCTCCTTCCTTTGGTGCATTTTTAGCACGGGCCTGGCGGCGCTTCTCACGGGCACGGAGCTTGCTCTTCTGGCCACGGGGCATGATGACTGTAGTTAGTGGGGAAACACAGATAGTACTGCAAACAGGTTAAGGAAGAGGTCACCCTGTAAAACAGAGGATGAGATAATTTGTACAATCTCTGTTGGTAGATCCTACTGTTCGTTACTCCATGAACAGCCACCTCGCCCGGTTCCCGTTAACTGACTTAGGAACCCAAAAGGGAAGGGGGTATTTAGACCTTGTCAACTCAGTTCCAACTCACAATATTAACTCTCCTCCTGACCAGTACTGTTTCTCCCGTTGCTAAAGGTTGTCTCTATCGACGTTGAGTCCCCAAATGCCGAGTGGAAGCACTGTGCCACAAGCGCCGTAGTTGGAGACACCTGAATTAAAAAATAGGGGTAGGATAATTTGGAGCAGGTCCCTTTGGGAAGGACTCTGGTCTGTGGGGAGAATGTTCCAGAATATACCTTGACACAAGGACGTTCCTACAATTCCTCACCAGACGACGCTCCGACGGCTTCACTGGCGACGAAGACAGCGCGAAAATAACGGCCGTTGAAGAAAAGCGGATATTACGGACATCCATTTCCGGTCACGCCCACACAGTCCTTTAAAAGCAACCACGCAGGCGCAGACGGAAGTAGGGGGCTCTGTCAATCAACCACTCTCCCGAGGGCTGTTGCTTCCAAGAAATTTAGTAGTTTTTTCTTTGCCTTTTCACTGTGACTTGAATTTTTCACTCTTATGAGCAGAGTCCACCTGCCTCGGATCCTGAATCTCATTTTATTGAGAGTCCTGACTATTAAAGTAAAAGCCTAAATTCAGTAGCCATTTCTGATACGTTTCACAACAGACAACAGACGAGGAGTTTTTTTACGGCATCTCCCGTGGATGACAATATGAGTGTTGTCAGTCCTTATTCAATATCTAACCATGACCATAAGTGCTGAGCTAGCTTTTCTCAATCTGCTGACTTCAGGACCGACCTTCCCACCAGGTAAGACAGTAAATACACAAACAATTTAAGTGTGGTTGGTATCTGAATAATAATACCCTATTCAGTATAAATAGACATATCTTATGACATAAATTGGGACGTCTTTTACCTAGTTTGTCAGCAAATTCTCAAACTGGCTTTGGTAAAGATTTTGTGTGGTTTTGTTAATTCTCTTCTTATTAATATTTTGGATATTTTTTACATTAAAGCTGATATAGGAAACATAAGTGTTATTATACTTACAGGGTATGAGACAAGGGTTTATTATTTATTAAGTAATGTTTAAATTAAGACAAATATTTATCTCTGTAAACTTTTCTCATAGTAAAAATATATTTTCATTATAGTTTAATATAACACAGTGTAATTTTGGTTGATGGTCACTGTACTGGGCTCTAGAACAGAATAAATTTTTATTTTAGTATTCACTGATTGGCCTGTGTTCATCTCTCTCTCTCTGAGTCTCCCCAGTTTTTGCCAACCATTATTTTACTCCAAAATTCTATATGTCAGGTTTTCTAAAAAATTAATGAACCTGAATATATGTATTCAGCATATTAAATGCAAATCAATGGGCTTTACAGCTCATTCATTAATTTTTATGTTGGGATAGCTTAAAATGTAAAAGCAACAATTTAACATTTATATGACAGTATTTTCACAAGTAGAGCAATAATAATATAACACAATGAAGAGCACTACATGCTGTGTTCAACTGGAATGAAGACATCTGTCTTTCAGTGATAACTCAATTTCAGCATACCTCTGAACCTGCCAAAACTTCTATGGTCCTCAGTATCTGTTATGTTAGTTCCTTATATAATATTTATTTTTGTCACTGCTTATATTAATTAGCTGTGTCATTGTGAGAAAAATAGTCAAAATAAACAAGTTAAATGAGAAAATGTTTACTTTGGCTCACACTTTCTGAACCTTTAGTCCATTGACATCTGGTTCTTTTGTGTCTCTGTCTATAATGTCATGTGGACATAGAAACCAAAGGGCATGGTAAGAGAGTGCTGCTTATCTCATGGTACCCAGGAAGTATATATAGAGAGGCAAGCAGTCTAGGGATAAGATTACACCCTTTCAGATCATTAAAGGAGTGTTCCTTATCCAAACCATAGCAGTGACACTTATTAAAACAAAGGAAGAAACTTACATTCTATAGGTAACACATAAGATATATTTAAAAAGTTCAAGAAAAATAATACTAATTTTGTTGAGAGGGAATAAATTGATAAACAAAGACAGCAACCTAATAATAATACTATGGTATGTTGTAACTGGCCTAGCTAGTGTTAAAGTTTTCCTTGGTTAAGGAAGTGAAAATTTTAGGGATTTTAAGGGGAAGATGGTAAATGACCAAAGATGCAAGGTTAATTATTTCAAATACTAGAGACTTTGCATATTTACATATAAAGTGTTTTAATAAAATTCTTAAGAATAGTGTAAATGACTCCTACCAGCAAAGATGGGCCAGGGATGTAGCTCAGTAGTACAATACTTGCCTACCATGTAAGAAGCCCTGGGTTCAATTTCTAGTACACAGTAAGAAAGAGAACAGAAAGAAGAAAGAGGAGGTTTAATTCAGTTACAAATATTGTTTGTTTATTATGGTATTGAGAACAATTAAAATCCCAATCAACTAAAATGGTTGAATTTGCTGTTTGCTTGTATTTTCATTTTAATGGGATGCATAAATCTTGTCACCTCAAGTTACATTGGCTACTTAGAGGACAGGTTGAATTACCAATTACCATATATTTATATAAGTCCTAAGAAAGAAAATTTTAATCAGACTAGTTTATGAACCTTGTTATAGATATAAAGTATAACTGGATTATACAATGAGGCTCATAATGATCACTACTCTTTGTACTAAGACATCTGCTTGCAACTGAGCAATGAGGACACTGAAGGATATTTTAAAATATGATTTATTCATTGAAGACACATAACATCCAAGAAAACATATTATTTCCTTTTTCTAGGTAGTCTGTGGTATAACCTTTGTTAGATTAGAAGGCTTTTAAAATTGACTTAATTTATATTTATTGGAACTTTGCCAAAGCTAGAGAAGGGGGTTGTGGTAAGTGGGAAAGATTGCTTTAGTACATCCAACAGAAAATCAGAAAGATTGTCTAAGCAATTTTAGTTTCATATACTGCATTTAGCTCTTGTTAATCCTTACTGTTGTTACATATCATTCTAATAATTAAATAATTGCTAAACATTAGTCACAATTAATAAGTCAATATTAAAGTCATTATGAGGAAAGCAATCAATGTGTTATTTATTATAAGATTTATGTCAATGATAGAATTTTTATAATTACAAATTTGAAAAACTCACAGGAAATATGATCTTAGCATAGTGCTTTTAGAAACAACATTGCTTTTATTTGATGGAAAATTAATTATATTTTTATTTAAGTCTTATAGGATTCTCAAAATCAGATATATGTATTTCTAGAGCAAGAGTATAATCTTACTCTATGTGCCTTTAACAAAAAATTGAGCCCCTTTCGAAGTGGAAGTGGTGGTGCACACCTTTAATGCCAGCACTCAGAATGTAGAGGCAGGGAGATGTCTGTGAGATGGAGGCAAACCTGGTCTACAAAATGACTTCCAGGACAGCCAGAGCTGTTGCACAGAGAAACTCTGTCATGGAAAAAAAAGAAAAAAAGAAAAATATTTTAAAAATTCAACCTCATAAAATTTCTTCCCATTTTAATGTTTTCTCATATACATAATACATAACCCATATTTCAGTCCAAGATTATTGTTTGGCAATGTAATTTTACCACGTGATAGACACAAGGCTGAATATAACAATGTAAGTAAAAAAGTAGGCAGATCCTGCCTCATGGAACTTATTAGCTTTTATAAAGGAAAGGAAAGATAGATATAAATCTAATAGAAATACATTTATATACACACTACAAATTGCTGGATATTGTGAAAAAATGTATAGGGAAATAGAACCATAGGAGACTATGTGATACAACAGATTTGGAAAGTAAAACCTGGAAAATTCTTATTCAGAGTTAGAAAAAGGATGAATATTGTCTATATTGCAAACGATGGGGTGAAGTTTGAGGACCCTTTCTTTTAAGGAATTGCCTGTGCAAGGCCTGGTGTCAGGATAAGCCTGGTGCATCCAACAGCTGTATGGCTCCTTTAGCATTAATGCAAAGTGAGAAGAGATACTCTGTACAGAAAAAAAAAAACTCAATAAAAATCCACTAAAGTTTTTAAAGGAAGGCAACAATCTAATAAGATATGTATTTTATAAAAAGACTACTGTATCCATAATGTAGAAATAAGCATTTGTAGCACACACACACACACACACACACAAACACACACACACACACACATACACACACACACACACACTATTGTAGGAAACAGAATTTAGATAGTCTTATATTATTTCAGCATGCCAGTATTTGAGATGGAGTAATTTGAATAGAATTGGAGGCAAAATGTTGAGTAGCATTTGCAAGAATTTTGTGTAAGTTTAAATAAAATGGTGTATGGAGGAACCACGTCAAGAGCATCTATTTCTAACTGCAGCATGTGCAACTTTATTCACAGTTGAATCACCTACTAAAACAGAGAATTCTGTAAGTGTTCAGCTAACACAGAAGGTGGGAACGATGAGAATGGATTTAATGGAGAAATATGATTCTAAATTCAGTAGGAAAAATGTTATATAAAAAGCACTTTTATATTTTTATACATATTCAGGTGAATATATCAGATAATTAGAAATACATACATGGAAGAGAAGTTTGGGCTTGAGAGACACACTAAAAGTCATGTGCAAGTATTTGAAAATGGAAGAAATAATCTGAACGTGATTGGTAAGGAAGAGAGTACAAGATGAAAAAAGCATTCTATGTTAAAAGAATGAGGACAGATATATATTCATGGTAGAGTATGTAAAACACATGATTTTCAAAAGTGTATAATTCCCAGGAAAATGTAATTTATATTTCATCATTAATTAGCAAAACTAATGAATACTCATTAAA